CAATATCATTTCGAGGCTTGGGAAGTCCTTCCTTTTGCTGAGAAAACAAATAGTTATTTAATGCAATTAAATCAAAACAGAACTCTGCTTGGAGAATGATAATGTAAACAGAATTAAAATCATTAGAGAAGAAACAGAGGTATCACTTTCATGCCGCTTGGAATCACTATGATTCTGAATAGGAAGGCCTCTAACGGCAGATTTTCTAAATTTACTAGACTATCTGCGATGATAATTGTATGGATTCTTACACATTACATATATATGGGAATATTCCTAATTTACAACTCCAAAAATCTAGTTAATAAACATAAGTTATGTAAAAGTAAAACAAGGTACCTAAGCAGACTCCAATCAACATAAGTGTGTCCCTCGCTAGAACAAGGCAATCGAGTGAGAATTTGGTCAATCAAACTGGCAGAACGGAAGTAAGCAGAGACAGCACTGATGGGATCCCAATGCCACATATTGTCAATGCAGATAACACTTGCAGAACCATTAGTAACCCTCTGCAAATCGACGAGGGAAATTATTTGGCGAAAGTAATTTAGATGGCACCAGTTTTAGAATTGATAAAAATCCAGACTTACAACAGGTTCAAAGGAGTCTTGACGCTTTTTAGATTCAACCAAGTGATCTGTAAGTGGAGACTCAGGAAAGAATGAGAAAAACTCTGGACTGACTTCTAATCTTTTGATGAGCCGATTTGCAAGATCGCAAAAGGTTAACAGCGATTCTTGCCTTAATTCACACAACCATGGGGAAAAAAGACCAGAAGTGAATTCTGTCCCAGATAGAAATTTAACCACTTTCGATGGCGGTTTTCTTCGAGCTGGAGGCATTTAATATTAATAAGTAATTTGCAGTAGATATCCTAACTGTGTTCCTCAGAAAAAAATTGAACAAATGTCGGTATTAAAAGATTTATACTAAATAAAAATCTAAAAAGCAAAATTAAAATGTATAATTGTTTTTAACTTTTAAATGAAACGACTAGCTTTCACAATAAGGCAATATTATGCAAAGTCTACGTTTTTTCACACAAGCCCATACGGTACGCGACCTTGAAATAACCTTTGATGTGGCTAGGTCAGAATATGCATTTTGCAACGGAATTTAATTATATTAGCTAATTAGCAATATACTATGTAACCATGCTTAGAAAAGAATTAAAAATGTAAAATTACCGGCAAAAGGTTATTCAAATAATGCTTTTAGCTTTTAAGTTAATATGTTCAGTTTTGTGACCTTCAGAACAAATAAAATTAAATTATATTGGTGGGACAACGCTATATTGATTGAAAGTCGAGCTTTCAGTCAACCGATAAGCTCGAGAAAATGGCATGAAATGATAAATCATTGGCTTACCTTCCTAATGTAATCATAAACAAGTATAATTAAAAAATAGTAAATATCTCTACGAAGCCGAATGTTTTGAATAAACTTTATTTGATAAGAGCTTTCCATAATTACGTTTGAACTAATTAGGTTATTGGCTTATTAATACGCTTTTCAAATATTTCAGACTTGCATAAATATTATTGTAAGATACTGCAACGCTTCCAAACAATAAAGTTATGATTTGATGCTGACCTGCTACTAAATTTGATGCGCATACAATGTAATAAATTGTATGTTCCTGTTCAAATAATCAAATATTGAAATGGGAAAAGAAGATATTATATGCAGCAGCAATATTATTGAACTAATTATAGAAACTTAAATGACTTTTTACCTCTTAATTCTTTTGCAAACTTCTGACTCTCAAATATTACTTGAGAATTTGATAGTATTTCAAATATCCGTATGAAGTTACGAGGGAATTTAATAGTGAAATACACGATAAGTGCAGAGATTTCCAATTAATTTTCGTGCTCATGTTCAATGAAATTTGTCTGGGTAAATATAGACTCAGAAACTACTAGTGCATGATAGCGAAATAAATAGCATTTTTATTGGCGCCTTGAACAAACAATTCATTCAAAGAAAATTATTGGTGTTAAAGAAAGGGGATGTGATTATAATTCACATTTTCATTCTTCAAATATATTCAAACTGTGCCCAATAAATCATTGAGTATTCATTAATTGACTATGGAATTGTGTCTCTCTTAACTCTAGGGCACTACCAAGCTAACATTTTTACATTCAGCAATTAATTAATTGATTATTTTATTTGTAGACAAAATTGGGGTCTAAGTCTAATATTCTTCATTACTACCAAATAATCAGCTTCATTTACTTTAGATTTATTCATGTAGTAACTAGAATTTACCGTTAAGGATGGATATTAAACTCCAGGACTAGATTAATAACTCCTAGATCTCGCTAGGAACTTGTTAACAATACTATAATAGCGTCAAGAATGCTTCTTATTTCTCCAACCATATCTGTGAGCTTTGGATCTCTATTTAGCCTTTTGTTATTTGTACCCTTAATATTCAACGTTGACTAAATGTCCTATTTGTTTGCATTTGTAAAGATTGTTATTTCAAACGGTTATGGAAACCAATTGGTTTCACAAGATTTCGTCACATTTATTAATTGCTATTGTTAAATTTCAAAATAGAAGAAAACCCGTTTCAATTTTTGCAAAAATAAAGAGCATAGCTATTTGAGATGATAGTGCGCATTTCAGGAGAGACAAATAATCAAGAACATAGTTATTATTAAAAATAAAGAAAATAGACAATGTTGTTTAAGTGAAAGATATGGATGACTCGAGGTGGAGTAGGTACAGAAAGTGGCATTATAAAAACACTCTGGAAATCGAGGTGAAGATCACACTTGTCACCGTCTTATCACCTCATTGAAGGATTTGCAAGGTGGGCCAGAAGGTGTGCTCGAGGGTTGATTTCAGTGTTGAATTCGGTTGGAAGGAGAGCGTTTCTTGTAGGGATGAGAAGACCCTTCAATTGATCTCGTTTTGTGAACTATATCAGAAAAAAACACTGAGTGATTGAAAACCACTTCTTTCACATTGAGTGACAATTCTTTTAGTTCTAATTCAATTACGACGATGCCATAGGTTATGGGAAAAATAAAAAATTTTACCATCACTGTTAAGATAATGTTCTGTCTTGGTGCAAAGAATTCGTCCTCTGTCCTGACTAAAATGTTGTCAGATGATTTCGGTTTCTGAATAAGAGGCACTGAAAAATTGGATGGATTTTTTTCCTAGAAAAAATAGAATATAAATCTCAACTTTTACTAAACTGAATTATATTGAAATTCGATAAACGGTAGAACAATCGTTTAAACTCGCATTTAATCAATTTAGTCAACTACAATAAGTGGATATGATTCATATATTCCAGAGTCAATCATTCATTAGGCTGAGAAGAAAGGAGCAAATACCATTCTGCAATCTATGATGCAAAACATAATTTTTTTAAATTTAGAATTAAAACTATGCTTTGATCATTTAAGAGAATGGAAAGTGGTATTTAAAAATATTTCCAGAGTCGAATTGGACGTGGGCTTTATCCATCATTTTAAATTCATGCAATGTGCTATCGATTCGCTCTTTCGGCTATCAGGGGGTTTCCGCCACATTTAAACAAATTTGACTGCGATTTCGAAACTGAAAATTAAGTCACATGGAATGCCCCCACTTATGAAACTTTCCAAAAGAAGCGTCTTGAAGCCGAGGCCATCAGAGCTCCCTAAAAGTGTCGAAGAATGAGTATTTTAAAAATAAATGACTCAAAACACAATCGGAGACCTGCAAGAATTTTGGTTCAAAGTGAGACAACAACAACAACATCGGTTGCTCTGTGATACATTATCAAAACTATTCTTTCGTTTGGATGCTTTCTTCAATTGGTCAAAATAATTCCTTGAAAAAATCTTGTTCCTTTAGATACATGAAAACGAAATGGTCATTTTAGTTAGGAATTACATGATCATAAATTTTGTGCAAAAATTCATCTCCTCTTCATGGACAATGAGACAACGATATTCTCCACATGCTAGAATGATCTCAATTTATTACTCTAGTCAAATTTTGGGGGCGGTAATTTCTTTGACACTACCAAAAAGTGTCTAAAACAAACGCGTTTATGCACTTCAGACTAGATTTTCTCAAAGTGAGGGTGAGATGGGGGTGGGAGGGGGGGGGAATTGCCGACTCAGTGATTTCCACCAAATCCAACTTTTGACAAAGACGATATTACGGCACTCACCACAAGTTGTACAACAAACTCTCCCAGTCGACGAATATCACCATTAAGAGAATCAAGAAGAAGAATTTGATTGGAAGGTGAGTATGTCACAGCCGTATTGTGTAGAGATATGGTGGCCGGAAAATCCTAGAAAACAGACAAGAGTTAGTTCTCATCATTGTGACTTTTATGGTCTCATCGGGCTGTAAGTTTATTCAGTGGCATTGGCGTTTGTGAGATGGGCACCTCATTCGTCACCACTGTAGTGGAAAGTTAATTTAATAGACATTTTCCTGCCAGTAAACTTCCATTCTCGAATGTATCATATTGACAAGCACGTATACATTGATAGTCAATTTCCAAACGTACGAGTTCAAGCATGCTAGTTGTTATAATAAATTTCTTGTGGTAATAACGTTATTATCAATAAGTGGTGTTTGATGGTAAATATTAGACAAGATGACTAAAAGCACCTAAATGTTCCTATATATTTGCTATGAATATCGCTTCATTACACAATCAGAAAGTCTTATTGTTAAGTGAACCATCTGCAACAGACATCGAACCAGAATTAGGAAAAAATCTATTAGAGAGAAGCTTAACTACCAGCTTAACCGGGTATCGTAAGAGTGATGGAATGCATTTTCTGGTAGAATGGAAAGCAGAATTTGGTTTAAGGAGTTCGGTTGTGAGCAACTAAATGACAAATTTCGAATGTAAATTATGAGGAGGCAAATTGTTAATAAGAATAGTCATTGTCAATTTGATGAACAAAATCATTAATTAATTTATTTAAGATCAATCTTGAGTAAATTGCAAAGAATATATAGATGTGAAGTACTTACAGGATGTTGAAAGACAATATGGTAGAAGATATTTTTGCGTCTACGTAAAATATGCGAGTTCTCGACTTTCGAAAGCAGTTTGTGGGCTTCCAAGTCCGTCGCTTCAATCGCCAAGCTGATTGGACCATTCCACTGCTTTGCAATTTCTTCAATTTTGCTAAATCTAAGGCGAAAGAGCCAGTTGGTCAGGGAATGTCATTATCACACATAGGGAGTGAGCACAATTCTCAATAAGAACAATTATTCAAGATACCGTCATTTCTAGTGCAGAAATTACGGAAAACTAGATAACTACTGTCGAGACAGGGTAATCTTAGTAGAACGAATTCTTCCCATTATCCGATTTGACTTATTTTTGCCTGAGAACATTGCTAGGTAAATTTCATTTTGGTGTGATTTAGTCAGGCGTGTTCTCTCTCCCCCCGCCCATTTCACTGCACTTCCAAATAACCTTCTGGGGCAATTTCAACAAAAAGTGTTAGCCATGACAATTCAAGCGCACTGAGCAAAACCTGCTCCAATTGCAAGAGTAACTCCACTTTCGTCTTGCGTTATCTTCTTATATTCGCCGCTGATGTAAAGTGGGTGGATTCGATGTTCAATTGTGAAACTAAATTCATCATTAATTCCACACCACACTTCGAATTCACTCAATTTTGTTCGACATAGGGTATTTGGTGTTAGAACCCTGCCACCTGGATGCAGTTTTGCCATGACCTAAATCAAGGATCAAATATCAGAAGAGATTGAATCGACCTACATTCCGAATGTCAAAGGCCTTCATGCTGGGCAATTTCTTTCGAAACTCATAACCATTCCTCATGTGAAATAGACTGCGAATATTTATGTATCGTGTTGTAATATCTGCGTCTGAGAGAACAAATTTCAGATATTTGATTAAATACATACTTTCTCCATTAGGACCACTAAGTTTGAATTCATGTTCCAATTTATTCCATTTGTCAGCATGTAGTAATTGGGGTTGTGGAATATCCTTACCCGCTGGACTATTCCAAGTGGATTTGCATAATTTTGGGGTTCCTAATTCGAACATCTGCACATTCCAAGTGCATGGTATAGGGTAGAAAATTGCTGGATTGTCCACAATTACCGCATTAAGCAATGTCTATAACCGAAGAAAGCAACAACCAATTATATGAAGTTAATTTGATGTATAACTTTTAAATTAGTTATTTTAATGGATTAACAAAAAATTAAAATAAAATATATTTAATAAAATATATTCCATCCCCTTAACAAAAAAATAGAAAATATCTTCAAAATAAAATATTATCAAACAGGGCAGCGATTTTCATGCAGAGTTGTTTATTATGCCTTAAGAAAAAAGATAAAAAGACGGTTTTTGTACTAAATGGCCATGAGATGTCAAAACGAATAAATACCACTTTTCTAAAAACAATTCGATAATACCCAATTCTATCGCACCCCAAATAAAGCACGAATGGTTGATATAAACACACAAAAAAGCTTGAATTCACCTGATTGAACAGTTTTTCATCTGGTTGACTTTATAAATACGAGCTTGTGCGACTCGACATCGCGTTACACGTACTCGTGTCCACAGCCAACCAGTGGCCAATTAGAAGCCTCCGCTTGTTTTATCAAACCACCAAGTTGATTATGACTTACCTTACTGCGTGTACACTTTTGCAACGATATACTTAATAAATAAACTTTTCCCGTGTGAAAGGCCAGGTTCCTCTATAGCTGGGTTGTAGCTTTGCCAGTTCTGGGAGTCAAGCCAGATAGAAGAGATTCTGCCATAGAGATTTCTGAGTCTTTCAAGGCTTTACTAGTGTAGCAATTATGTCCCAGTTACAATGGGTCAAATTAGGTAAATTACAAGCAAAATCAAATAACAAATATATACTTAGTTGAAAACATGAGTTCCAGTCCTTTAAATCCGAATATTTACACAGAAGGGCGTTCCCAAGAAATGAGCTATACAATCAATAAAAAAAGTTGAAAACACATCAATGAAATTACCTGTTCTGCTGCCCCAAAATAAGGCGATATCTTAAAAGCTCTATGGAAAGTTGGCTTCCATATTGACTCCCATTTCTGTTGAGTTAGCTTTCGTAGGTCCCAGAGCATAATTCCAGCGTTGTATCCATGATCCTTTCCATGCGGATTATTAGAAGCTCATACGAATTGCAATTTAGGTTTATGAAATGAAAATAGACGTAAAACATACAACTCTCCGACCTCTAATTTTCTTGAAGTTGAAGTACATTGGAGCCTGTTCTAACGCCATTCCAAGAAACTGAAATGTGATCATGCAGTCGTTTCAATGGTAATACTTGAAGTTAGGTTAAGTAAGATTACCTGATATTTGTCAAAGTTTTCAAAATGATCCCACAGTTTCACAACGTCGTCAAGGAAGACAGTATCGGTATCAAGAAGCAGTACCTAATATTTTGATAATGAGAATAATGATTCGTTATAATCCATTGCACATTCGAATCTGGCTTATGCAAACGACTGACCTTTGGCACTGTTGAGTTCAAGATTTCTGGTAAGTACATTTTCATTGTTGCCACCTTTGTAGCGGAATGATGACTTAACATCCATGTAATTTTACTCTAAGAAGAAGAAGAAGCCAACATGACAGTCTTAGAGAACTGAAGGAGATTTTACAGTTAAATCGGAGCAAACTAACTTGAATAGGTTCTGCAGCATAGAAAGTAGTTCTAAGTTTGTCAACACGCCAACTTTGGATAATTCCATCCAGAATAAATTGGGTTGCCTTATCAGTGAGGAGATGAAGGTGTATGGGCTTTGCACTTTCCTCCTGAAAGTGAGTGGTGAAGAGGCTTTTGAGAAAAGTCATTTGGAATCGAGGCGATTTCGAACCCAATACCATTTGCATGATGTGAATGGCACCAGGATCTACATCATGCATCCTGTCATCAATTTGAGCCTTAAATTTGACAAAAAATCTTTTTCATAACAAATTTGTCAACTGACATTTTTTATCAGTAAACGAATTTTTTACTCTATTATTTTTGCATTAAAAGTACAATTACAATGCAAAGAACACTTGGTTTCTCAATTCCCTAAGTTTTCTTAAGTAACTACTTGTTGTTTCTTAAACCGCCCAAAACTTTATTATGGAAGTTGTGTTTGAAAACTTTGCTAAATAGCTATTGGCATTTATGTACCTATGCAAGAATCTACTTTACCATCTTTGAATTTGAAGGATCGATTCCTGGACTCCAAGTGCATATGGCCCATCAGTAGGTAGGACTCGAGTTATGGGATTTAAGTGATAGATGTAATAGGTAGACACAGATCGTGCAACCAAATCTAAGTTTACTCCTTTGATAATTTTCCTGCCCAAATAAATAATAAATCAGATAGGATTTAGATGAAGAAACCGTTTCATACCCCTAACTACATCGTGAATAGAGCAAACATAAGAACGTCTTAAACTCCACCTTAATAAGAGAATGATAATATAGCAAGAAAATAATAAATGGCTAAAACCATAATGCTAGACTTAGAAAAAAATATGTGTGAAAATTGAAATATTCAGTTTAAATTAATAGTGAAAAGAATACTGAAAATAAAATAACACAATACTAAATGATAAGGACCCGTAATTGATTTGGGTCTGTAATAATTACATGAGCACTTCGTGAACTGTAGACAATTTGAAACACCACATCCACCTCATACTTTAAGTTTGAATGGTACAGCGATAGGACACATTTTGCAGAAAAAATAAAATATCTTCTTAAACGGGATAAAGTTTAAATTTAACCACAATGAAATGATTAACTAACTAAAATTTGTTCTGGAACTTGATAACTAACAGTTGAAAGTGACCGATGCAATCCATGAAGCGAAATTATTACCACTGCAGCGATAAAAGCGTCGACAAACAACTTCTTTGATTTCAGAAATTTGAAGATACAAAGTGACAGCTTCTTAAGGAGCATACTAGAGAGGAGTTGATTAAAGTTAATATAAAACTGTCTCACCTGACAGGATTAATATTGACGTGTATTAGTTTCTTGGTACAGAGGAGAACATTGGCAAGGGTGATTTCTTTACAAAAGGAATGAGTATTAAGTACCATATGACTTTTAAGCTCCTTTTTCCTCGTGTGCGCGCGTTACAATTTGCGCTAAACGAAAGAGCAACGGTTCGTGCTTTGAAAGCGTGGCTTCTATACCTCAGTGGACTAAATAGGCAAACGTTCCATACTAGCAGCTTTTAATTTCAAGTGTAGACGGTTAGAATTCATTAAATGGAAAATGAAGTGTCATCGTCTTAATTCCCTGTATTTCAAACTGAGTCTATCAATTCGTCAGATACTTCATCCATTTTTACATGAGTCTCAAAAAACATGGAGAATTTTTTCTCGATTGGTTTCGAGTGGCCATCACCTAGAGTTTGACTGATGAATAACAATGAGACATTCAAACAAATTTAATTAACTTAAATCCTACTTATTTTATCGTGTTTGTCATTTATATATATATATAATTTCAATATTTCCGTTAAAATAATGTGACCAAAGAAAGGTAGAATAATATGCGTGACAAGACAAATATTAATCTAGAAGTAAGAATAGCTGATCACTGCAAGTGTGAAGCAATGGCCAGCAAACGACTGTAGCTAATAAAGGGTCACTTGGTAGGGTATTTAAGACTTAACCAAAAGTCTCAAAGTTTATTATGAATTCACATCGATAGTTAACTGCAATCCACTTTTCTCTTAGCCACGATCATTTTGACTTAGTTCTTGAAGTAAGCTACAGGCCTTCGAAAAAATAAACTTGCATTTCAAATATACTATGATCTTGTACCATTCGTATTAAAAAAAATTTTCTTTAGGCGATTCATTTATACCGGAGTAATCAATGCTTCAAATTATTAAAGTTAACAACATCTATTTTTCCCGAAAATTAATTCCCCTGAATGAAGAAGGTGGAACAATATTTTATTATTCACACGCAAACATATTCATCAACGATAGTAAATTATTGCGTGCTAACAATGTTGAGCAATAGGGATTTCATAATATTAGTAGAGAAGTTAATCGCCAATGAATATAAAAGTCAAGCCCTTCTCAATTACTCAAAAATCTATTCTCCTAAAGTATTAAATTGTTTTATCAAGGAAAATCACCTGTTCATATGATTCCGCGTGCATTCAAAATTATAGAAATAAAAAGTTTGAGTGCATTGAACAATGCAGGTGATTTCTCGTACTACGGACGATTTTCGCGGTATTACAATTCTAACTGTAAAGCACTCCACTCCAAATAGAATTGGATAATCACTGTTAAAAAACATCTATAATGATATATAAAGGACCCGTATCCGATTTCAGTCATTTGTTCGTCTGCCGATAATGGGAATATGTTTGATGATAAGCCCTAATTTAGCCGTCAACATTCACTTGATATGACATTCCATATCTCGCAGCCCCGATGGTATATTAAGCCAATGTGGCGTTCGACTGATGGTCCACCATGTTCACTATTTATGTCGGCTGGAAGATACTGACTGGCCAATGAAGTGAACAAGTGAAATGTGTTTTTTCTAAGTAGAGCGATGGGGAACATCCTGGGTTTATGTTTCATAAATGATCAGGCTGAACTGTAGTCATATATCATTGAATGTAAAGTTTATTGATACCTTAAATGGAAGGAGTTGAAAACCGAGTTTGCTAAAGCATTCTCAAGAGACTTCCAAAGTTCTCGCTTGATAGTGCCAACTAATTGCTCCTTTCGACCACCTGAATGAGCATGATTTGATCGAGAACGGAAATAGATGATTTCGAAATTTCAAAACGTACCTTAAAATGAGACCGTTCTATGTGTTAGAATGGACCTTTGTAGTACATGACTTAACAATATAACACGATGACCATTGATCGACCTAGTGGGTGTTATGGTCTTCAATTGAGCGACTTCGCGCTACATTCGAGCTTGATTCTACTGCCAAAAAATATGAGAGACCATTGACAGGTCTGGCAAAATTCAAGTGTATGTGACACCGTGGAGTTGTAAGTTGGACGGAGGATTGGGTTGGTGGTGTGGTAGAAGCCCAGTGGCTCATTGGCTTCAAGAACAACGTTCAATAGCTATTTCAATATCTTTGTCAATTATAAAAGGGTTCTTGCAATAGAAATCATGTTAGATATTATCTAGCCAACTTCGTTGTTTACAACCTTTGTAGTTGACAGATTCTGGTTGAACCGTAAATGTGGCTCATTTGATGCCAATCAGTACAACAGAATTCGTTGAAGCTCATCAATGTTACTTCCTCGAAGAGTTATAATATGAAACAAATTATGCAAATTTCTTATCTAGAATACAAAATGCATACTCCTTTATTCTCTAAAGACATGTTAGGGAAAGCTCGCAAAAAAACAAGTTGTCATTTTATACAACAGTACCAACAAATGCAGTAGCATAGTTTTGAATATTTTTCCTGAAATAGCACATTTATTTCTCTATATTATTTATAGTGTTGTCCCAAAACTATGCCACCCTTTAATAATTTGGTCAATTTTGCATTATTCAAGTCAATTACCCACCCTCATGACTCAATAATTAGGGTTAAATATTCCCATTTTTAAGGCAACAGAAAACTATTCAGAAAAAAGGAAATTCTAAAGACTTCATAGAAACATTCGATAAAATGGCTAATTAAACTTGAGCGAATTATGAAATAGATTCCAATGTGACAGCTATAAAGAGGGCATTGTGCTGTAGGGTGATTGAATAAATATCTCGTTTTGATGCCTTCACGCCCAAAGTTGGTTTTTTTAAATTTATTCTTTTACTGCATAAAGTATTTTGACATTTAAGAGGATTGCAATAAAGTTCATGATAAAAATTTTGCGAACAATTGGAATCATTGTTTTTTTATATTATTTTGTTAGCATGTGGTGTGTTAATACAGAACTGGTGATTTAGATGGAGAAGATGCTTCAGCAATAGGAAAGACATATCCATGATGCTCAAACTCATGTAACGACTATTGGTGTGTCGTTTGAGAATGAATTCGTAATTCAAAGGCTAATCTTGAATATCGGATTAATATTCAAGCCAGGGGTGTGCAATAGACTTACCACCACGTGGTGCACCTTAAGCAACGTAAACACATACTACAAAAAAATCAATTAACCGGCAGTTGACTTTTGGCTTTAAACTACAATGATTACACTGTATGTCAAATTGGACCCCTTTCACAGTACTCACTTCACTTGATTTAATGAAATTAATCACATTGTTTTATAAAATTTGTCGTATTTTGCCATTATTGTTGTTACACACAATCCGTTAAATTTTGTTAATTAATTGCTGTGTTTTGCAAAATAAAATGCAAACTTCACGCTACTTTTCCACAGAGTTTAAATGGAGAAAATCGGCAAAATAAAGAAAATTCGGGGTCCATTACAATATTAATTGACAGTTAATTGGCAACAGCACAAATAAAAAAATTTATTATTTCCTACCCTCCAGTCAGCAGGAAAGTCAGATTTACTGGGATGGAATGACCTCGATTTCATCCAACCTCCAAAGCAAAGTTATCTCAGTAGATAGGAGGTTCTTTTAAAAATAAACATTGCCTGTGAATCGATCCGATTGAATTTCAATCAAACCGCCAATTACCATTTTAGTTCAAGCCAATTTGTTTATATTACGTTGCTCAAATTCAGGAGGATTTGATAACACAACAGCAGAAGAAGTTAACTCTTATCTAAAGATGACCCATATTTAGATAGATTATAGAGAAAATTAAAGAATATTTTTTAACTAAACTAATAACTATTGTGAGGGACGCAAAACCTATTTCAATCTATTCCGAAGTACTCAAATATCTTGAAGGTTTGACTACAAAGGTAAATTTAAAACATGCATTCAATATGTATTTCAAAAAAAATTTAATCGGGAGAATTTTGAGATAGAATTGATGCGTATGAGTAATGAAGTCAAATTATGGTGATGA